GATATTCGGTATTTTGATGATGTTAGCGACATTATTCACCGGAATTGTTTCAAATTTGGTATTTGAGGATCGTAATGGATACTACAGCCTGTGACAGAAAACTGTGTGTGCAGGTCCTCATCTTCGCATAGCCCCCATATAACGGTACCTTCCGATATTGGGTTTTTGATTTTATCGACATTTTAACCGATTTTTTTTTAAGTTTCGCATTTGTATCGGCTTATGATAAAAGTTGCCTATGCAGGTCCACGTCGTCGTATAGACCCTAATTTAAAAGATTTTATCACAATTTTTAACGGATTTTTAAATAGTAAAAATGGGTTACAATAATTTTATTTAAACAAATATATGATTTAAAATGTTTCTTGAATTTGGATTTGATAGTTAAATTACAAAAATTAATTGTTTGATTTTGACTCTAAAATATCTACAAATAGCTCGTTACTCTTATTCGCAAGAAGTCCTTCTTTTCGTAACAAGTCCATCTTTGAGATTTTGAATTGACGCTTGGCTGTTGCCATAGACCTTATATTTCACGTGGCCGCTAAGGAAGAAGTCGTCACAAGGTGTTAAATCACAAGATCTCTGCAGCCAATTGTGATCTCCTCCTTCAGAGAGAACAGAAAACTCTCTCCATAAAAGAGAAATGGTTGTGTAGAAGGCCTTCAATCTATAGAAAACTTATATAACCTCTTCCATCAACAGAGCCCCTATGGAATGTCTTCTATCTACAGAAGTCATGTAAAAATTCATCTCTCCCTTCATCCGTGTGCTACTTTTTCACCCCCAACTGTCTCGGGTAATTAAATAAAATTGTTAAATAAACAATTGTCACGACATAACAATAAACATTCTTTATGTTTTTTTGTTGGTCTTGAGCAACAGCAAAGACTAATCACATCAAAAATATACAAACATAGTTACATATGTATGACTGGAGGAAGCCAGTAGGAGCCAAACATATTTGCTACCCTTAATGATAATAATGATGTTAGTGTTCTCGACGGATGACGATCCTAGAATTACGTATGTTAAAATATGTCTAATTCTGATGTTTATTTGAAGTGATTTTCAGTTTATTGGTAATTTTATTTGTTCTCGACATTTTTCGGCCTCCAGAGGAAGCTTTTATGTGCCACTGAAAAATAAATAAAAAAGACGTGTTATATTTTTAATTTGTCTGAGAGAAGGAACTGCATATTTCCGATAAGAAAATATATAAATATATAAGGAATCCTGATTCTTAATGAATTAGACACGTAAATATCCCATAACGTGGAACTAAAGGGTAGAAGACATCTAGGTATTCTGTATATGCTATTTAAACTATTGTAGAGAAAAAAGAAAAAGTCCACAAAGAATATATATTTATGATCAGCATAAAATTATAAGTCGATTTAACTATGTTCGTCCGTATGTTTCTTGAAATCAGCTCATATAGGTTGAGATGAAAAAACTGCAACCAATTTCAGACTGCTGTCATTTCTAAACCACAAGTCCGACAGCTGTTAAAATTATTCCAGTGACAGCTCATTATATTGTTTACAATCGAGCAAAAGCAGTTTGGTGAGAATTTTTTCAGAAAAAAAGTTATTCGTAATGGAATTCAAACGTGATAGTGTGATTTCTCTATATTTGGCTGGACACAACCACAAGTGGCTATCGTTAGAGCACTCCAGCATTTAAATGTGAATAAATCTTTTGAGTCTCGTATCATCGCTCGTTACCGTGAAACTGGTAGCGTAGCCCGACGTCAAGGCAGTGGACGGAAGAAAACAGCAAGGGTTCGAAAAGTTAAGAAGCGACTTCATCGAAACCCGCGTCGCAGTGGCGGAAAAATGGCTCGTGGGCTGAACATATTGCAATATTCCATTCGGCAAATATTGAAATATAAGCTCGGGATAAAGCCATTGAAATTCAAAAAAAATGCAAGAACTTACACCGCAATTAGCTTGGCCGAAAATGGTGAACTGCCGAATTTGGTTTTCTCCATCTCCGATGAGAAAACATTCGTTGTCCAGTAGCAGTTTTTAAATAAACAAAATTATCGTGTTTACTTGCGAGGAGGTCAGCTGAAGATTTGCACCTTCGGTTGGCCACCAGAACTCAAGCGACGGCCGGCCATGGTGATGGTGTGAGCCGCCATGACAGTCGATGGTCGCTTTCCTCTCGTATTAATCGACCGTGGCATCGGAATAAATGCCGAATTTTATCGCAAAAATATTCTGGAGGGTGTATTAAAGCCTCGGGCACGCAAACGATGGTCGCTCTCCGCTCGTATTAATCGACGCTGGCCTCGGAATAAATGCATCATATTATCCCGAAAAAAAAAAGCCTTAAAGCCTTGGCCACGCAAACATTTTGGCTGCAGACCTTGTACATTCCAACAGGACTCAAACACCATCGCCAAGCACGCACCACCCAAGAATAGTTACAAAATGATGTGCCTCGTCTTATTTCCTACGCACAATGGCCACCAAAATCTCCAGATAATAGTCCGTTGGAGTATTTGGAGCTACCGTGTGTTGGCCGCCATAACAGCCGATGGTCGCTCTCCGCCCGTATTAATCGACCGTGGCATCAGAATAAATGAGGAATGTCAACGCGAAAATACTCTGGAGGGTTTATTAAAGCCAACTGAACTCAGCACCAATCCACGCAGCACGAGCCACCCAAGATTGGTTACAAAATGAGGTTCCTCGCTTCATTTCCAGCGTACAATGGCCACTAAAATCTGCGGATGCCAATCTGTTGGACTATTGCATCTTGAGTATTTTGGAAAGCAAGGTTGGCACTAAAAAATACCAAAGTATCGATCACCTCAAGCAAGCGCTTCGCCGAGAATGGGCCAAAATACCGCAGAGCAACATTCGGGTAGTGTGTGACGGTTTCATTGGCCGTTTGAAGGCAATAACTCGTGTCAAAGGTGACTAAATTGAAAAAATCTGAACTTATTCTAAAATTGGATGCTATTTCCGATATTTTTTGCTTTTATTCATACAGCCTAAGGCAGAAAATTTTCAATACAGGTCCTCGTCTTCGTATAGCCCCCATATAACAGTACCTCCCGATATTCGGTATTTTGATGATTTTAGCGACATTATTCACCGGAATTGTTTTATATTTGGCATTTGAACTTCGAAATGGATACTGCAGCCTGAGATAGAAAATTGTTTGTGCATGTCCAGGTCTTCGTATAGGCCCCATATATCAGAACCTCCTTATATTCGCTATTTTGACGATGTTAGCTACAATACTCACCGAAATTGTTTGAGATGTCGTATTTGAAGTTCGTAATGAAAGCTACAGCCAGTACAGAAAATTGTCTATACAGGTCCACGTTTTGGTATAGCCTCCATACGACGGTACCTCCTTATATTCAGTATTTTGATGGTTTTGACTACATTATCCACCTTTTATTTCAAGTTTCGAATTTGAATATGGTGCACGTCGTACAGGCCCTAATATAACGGCTATATTCGGTACTTTTAAAATGAATTTTTGGCGAATGTTATCTTTTTCGAAAATTTTCAAATTCGTTCTAAATGGTGGAGGGTATTCAAAGTTCGGCCCGGCCGAACTTACTGCTTTTTTACTTGTTTTATCTCACCCTGTATAGCACCTTTTCTGTATGGAAACCCTCTTGCTATTCTATTAAGAAAACCGATGGGTCCTTTTTATCGGAGAGCAAAAAATAAAAGGACCCATTGATCTTCTGTATAAAAACGTGATTTTTAAGGAGAACATATACTCCACTTGAAGGCCTAGGTCCTGGCCTTCTACTTCTTTATCTTAAATTTGTAGTTATTTTGTAAATCAGGATAAATGTGAACTACTTTTCTTTGGATCTCCCAAAAAATCTAATAAAAGAATGGTCCTTTGAGGGAGTTGCTTCTGAAGATCAATCAGAGAATATGTTTTTGTCATTGAATCATATTTTTCTCGTAAACAAAATACCCATTATTCAATTTTTAAAATTTTTAATTAAATTTTCAATTTTCCGGAACACTTTGCCCTCCCATCAAACATTCTGCAACCTAATTGCAATTGCATTAAAAACATTTCCTATTTAGGTCATCACCATAATCATCAATTTATGTTTGGCAAATAATACTTCCTCGAAAGTTGGTCTGCCCGTCTGTCTGTCGGTCATCCGTTAATGGAGGGAGGTCATTAAAAACTTTAACTAAACGCTAACCTAGATTACCTGATGTCCTGGCACCCGTTGCAAAACCTCATAATGATTTCCAATTTCAAATGACTTACTTTATGCAATGATCGGTAATTTCCGTTATAAACAAAATTTCCAACTCAACTTCCTTCCGTCTGCCCGGCGAGAGAGGGGACCATCAATGGAATTCTCCAATGCAGCCTAAATAGTTCATCGTTTACTATCGGCAACCTTGAATGGATTTGGCAATGGTGAAGGATGTTGTTCGCCTGGTTTACACGACCTTACCGAAAATTGCTGTAGTTGTTGGCAAGTTGTTGTGAAAAACCGCAAATCAATCACCGGTTGACTAAATTTCCCCAAACAACAATTACAGCAACAACAACACTAACAAGGGCACATAATCATGTTTTGCCTCAACATTAATCCTGTAACAGTTCAATAATAACTCCGCTAGTTAGAGACACCTTCTTCCGTCGAAGTTAGTTGGGAAAAGTTTTTTGCGCCGTCGAACAAACTTTGGCCATTACAAAGTGGTGGGGGGTGAGTGATGGCATTGTGGAACGGGGAGCCAAGAACGAGCCACAAACTGGGTAATTCCTTTAGAGATTTTTGTTGTAGTTGTTGTTATTGTTGCTGTAGTGCTTGTACCTTGCACAATGAAAGGAAATTACAAGAAATACTTTATGATTATTCAATTCTGGGCTTCCTTTCTCTTTCTCTTCACCTCCCCTTCATTGTGTTACCAATCATTCATTGCAAAATCAATAGAATGAGGAAAACTTTTCCCTGTCCCTGCTATGAATTTGGGTAACTCTGTGTGTCAGAATTCTAATGAAGTTTCTTCATTCATTCGAATCGAAATAAAAATTATTTTGTATTGTTCGTCGAATAAAACTTTCAATAGTTTCATAGCTGAAAGAAAAATAGAAAAATAGTTGCACATTTGCTGTCCGGGCCAAAGCATGCGTTACCTTTACAAAGAATCGGATGAAAAATATGTAAAGCCCAAGGAAAGGGATAGTAATCGATTGCCAAATCCTTTGTCCGCGTACAAATTCCGTTTGGATACAATAACACGTGGAGCATTTGAGTTCGACAAAAATGATATGCCAATTGTTTTCAAATGCTCGCCAGATACGCTGCTGAATATCTGTATCAAGATTGTGGATGCCATGCCCTTGCCCTCGGTGTACGAATGGAATATTGAGGATATATGCAAATGGCTGCGAGGATATGGTTATCGTCAGTATCAGGTGAGAGAAAATGAAAATTGAGGCTTTGAAAATATGTAGAGAATTGATTTGAATTGAGAAAGTGGCAAAATAGATCTCTAGGTCGGGTCTTATGATGCCCAGCTGCTACTGGGGACAGTTGAATCATTTGATGACCAACTGACCTTTGTGCTCATCCTTGGATTGGGAAGGATAGCAAGGAAATTGGGGACCAACATTTAAAACTTAAAACTTAGAGAGGATATCGTATTTCCCCAGACAATCCTTAGACTCTCGGTTGAAACCATTTCTCCCCGCCTTTCTCCCAAAGTTACGGAGATCGAAAATACAATACAATGGTACTATTCTTATTACTTTTATATCCCAATAGTACCGAAGTACCACACAGAGGAATTTCGTACCATTTCACTTATATACAAGTCTTCCAAAGATATTCTATAGACTCTGCTCTCACAGGACTTCTGAAGGCGGAAAATCTTCAAAAGGTCTCATTTGGAGATAAGATCTTCCAGAGAATATCTATGGATGTGGTATTCCATCCAGATAACTTCAATAGATAGATTGTCTCTAGGAGACCTTCAAGAGGTCTTTCAAAAGGTAGAACAATTTTCAGAAAAATGTTATTGGAAAAAATCCTTGCAGATAGATAGGAAATATATAACAGGTTATTTATGGATATATAAAGATGACACCTTTCAGAGGTTTTCTTCAAATAAAGGATCGTATAAAGGCTTCCTTCAAATAGAAACACTACCCATTGTATTTTATCGACAGAAAGGTAATAAAGATCTAATTGATGAACGAAGCTTTTTATGAAGAAACAAGACAAGCTTAGTTGCTTCTAGGATCAATCTAAGGACCTGCATTTATGCCCACAAGTGTCCTGAAAGCCTGGATTTCTCAGGGAGCAAACTATAGTGATTTGGCTGGCATTTAGCTTCGAAGTAATCGGATTAATTGTTATTTGCTCAAAGGCAATTAGGTAGTTTGCTCTCGTTTTGGATCCAATCGATTGGATTGTCTGTAGTTGGAAGTATTAGATTTTGTGTGGCTGTCGGCTCAGAGGTTTTGGCCTGGGTTATTCTCAACTTCGCCGTCTTCTTCGAGTGGAAGATAATCGAATGAAGTTCCTTTGTTTCGGCCAAATCAGGCCAACATCAGGTCTAGTCAGGCTCTGTAGTATTTGGCCTTAGAAAAACTTCCTAAAAATTCAGGATTGATCTCGAAGACATGTTCTTCAAAATCCACGTTTCAGGCTCTTACAAATCCTTATTTTTGGTCACTAAATATCCATATTTTGGCTCTGGTGGTCGTTGAAAAAAATTCTTAAAAATCCACGTTTGGTCTTGAAACTATGTTCTTAAAAATCCAAGCTTTTGTCTCTCTTAGTCCTTGAAAAAAATGTATCCTAAAATCCAAAAAAATGTTCTTACAAATCTACGTTTGGTCCTTAAAATTTTTTTCTTAAAAATACACGTTTGGTCCTAGAAAAAAATATTCTTAGAAATCCACGCTTTGTCCTTGAAAAAATATACTTAGAAATCCAAGTTTGTTTCTTGAAAAAATTTCCTCAAAAATCCACGTTTGGTCCTTTATAAAAATATTTTTAAAAATCTACGTTTGGTCCTTAAAAAAATATTCATAAAAAATCAACGTTTAGTTCTTATAAAATGTCCTCAGAAATACACGTTTGGTTCTTGAAAAAATGTTTTCAAAAATCGATGTTTGGTCCTTGAAAAAAAGTTCTTAATAACCAACGTTTGGTCCATAAAAATCCATGATTGGTCAATGGAAAGATGTTCCTCAAAAGTCCACATATGAAGCTCTGTTAGTCCTTGAAAAAATGTTTTTAAAAATCCACATGTCGTCCTTGAAAATATTCTTTAAAATCCACGTTTGGTTTAATCCTTAAAAATTTTTTCTTAGAAATCCACGTTTGGTTTAATCCTTAAAATTTTTTTCTTAGAAATCCACGTTTGGTTTAATCCTTAAATATTTTTTCTTAGAAATCCACGTTTGGTTTAATCCTTAAATTTTTTTCTTAAAAATCCACGTTTGGTTTGGTTTAATCCTTAAATTTTTTTCTTAAAAATCCACGTTTGGTTTGGTTTAATCCTTAAATTTTTTTCTTAAAAATCCACGTTTGGTCCTTGGAAAAATGTTTTAAAAAATCCACGTTTGGTCCTTGGAAAAATGTTTTAAAAAATCCACGTTTGGTCCTTGGAAAAATGTTTTAAAAAATCCACGTTTGGTCCTTGGAAAAATGTTTTAAAAATCCACGTTTGGTCCTTGGAAAAATGTTTTAAAAAATCCACGTTTGGTCCTTGGAAAAATGTTTTAAAAAATCCACGTTTGGTCCTTGGAAAAATGTTTTAAAAATCCACGTTTGGTCCTTGGAAAAATGTTTTAAAAAATCCACGTTTGGTCCTTGGAAAAATGTTTTAAAAAATCCACGTTTGGTCCTTGGAAAAATGTTTTTAAAAATCCAGGTTAAGTCCTTGAAAAAATGTTTTTAAAAATCCAGGTTGGGTCCTTGAAAATTTTTTTTTAAAATCCACGTTTGGTCCTTGAAAAACTATTTTAAAAATCCACGTTTGGTACTTGAAAAAATGTTTTAAAAAATCCCGTTATGCCTTTACTAATATTTTGTTTCTCCCTCCTCCTCTCTCCCTTTCAGAATACATTTCGTGAAAATCTCATCAACGGTCACACCCTGCTGCTACTGGATGCCTCTGCCCTCTCGGTCATGAATATCAAAGATTTTGAACACATCAAACATATAGCCTATGGCATACGATCCCTATTCTATTACGAAATGACAAAGTTTGGTCGAAGTTTATCCCAGTATCCCGAGTTCCACAATGAAATATATAAACTGTTACAAACAAAAACTGGCAGGGCCTATAAAAGCACTCGGCGTTCCGATTTATGGCGCCGTTTGCAAATGATACGGAAACGTGAGCTAAATCATTTACATTGGGATCTCTTAGAGAAATGGCTAAATTTTGAAAAGGTACCCGAACACACCGAACTAATTGGTGGTGTGCATCGTTACAATTTGTATCGTTGTCATGGTACACCCCGACCGCAGGAGATTGAGAAACCATCAAAGATCTGTCCTTGTTTACCACCCTGTGAATGTGGCTGGGCGAATGAGGATTATCGTCAGCCATGGACCTTGAAATGTTTGCCACATTTAAAGGATAAAGATAAGGGATGCGTTAAGTTTTGTAAGAATTGTATGGCCCCTTGCACCTGCCGTTGGTCTTCGAAAATGTATCAGACTCGTGGGGTTTTGTCTTGCCTGCAAATCGCCTTCCCCCAGAAATATGGCAGCACCATTGGCGTCACTCAATTTCGACAGAGGTCGCAACGTGCTGGTAATGATTTTCAAAATTATCGTTTGTCATCGCTTTGAAAGAGAGAAATTAGTGCGTGAAATAAAAAAAATCCGCCGTTGCTACATTTATTTTGAGATACATTTTTGTTAAATTGCCGTTCCTGTTAGCCAGAGTGGACAATGGGGAGAGTTAATCAGGAATTAATCAAGTGCAGTTACTACCCAAGGTAAGATGACACCTCATATAATTTATTATATAATTTTCGTATAAATATTACGGATTTAAGCCTTCTTAGAAAAACTGTAGGTGGTGGGAGCATAATTGAGAAGTCAAATCCAAATCAAGAATTAGAGATTTTTTATACCTTAGCCATGTGACTACAGAGGGTATATACGGTGAAGAAGTGCTTTATCAAAATAACGGTTTTAGACCCTGGGTCTCTTTGCGCCAAATCCGTTTCAGGACATTTGAAGTCGATCTAGCGAAGTCCGTTCGTCTGTCTGTCTGGTTGGTGCGCGCGATAACTCTCGAAGGGAGTATACGATTTGATCCAAAATTGGTACATCGTAATATTATTGTCAAACTTAGATCGAGTTCGGAGATGGCTAATATCGGTCCGCTCCTTCTGGTACCTCCACCACAAAATGGCAATTTTCTGAAAAAAAATAATTTATATTTATATAATTAACTTGGCAAACCCCACTATATTTGTCAATACTAGGTCAGGTGCGGAAATAGACAATATCGGCCAACTCCATCAAGTACCTCCCCCACAAAGGGTCCAAATTTCGTATCATTAAAACTCTTATAAAACGAAAAATAAGATTTCGATTGTCCTCAAATTTCACACATCCCAATATGTTTGTTAACAAAAGATCTGGTGTGATAATGGGCTATATCGGTTCACTTTTTTGTGTACCTCCTCACACCCAACGGGTCTAAATTTTAAATGGTTATGAAGCTCCTAAAAAGTTCATGAAATGCGAATAGGACATCCGATTCTCTTAATATTTCACATATTTCAATATATTTGCTATAACAACATGTGGCGTAAAACAGGAATATATAGGGCCACTGCTTCTGGTACCTCCCCCAGAAAGTGTCAACATTTTGTATAATTATATCTCTCATAAAATTCGAACGAAATAAGCATCCGATTGTCTTATACATGCACACATGCCAATTATTTCACTAACCCAAGATCTGCTGCGAAGACGGAATATGTCGGCTCACTTCTTCTGGTACCTCCCCCACAAGGGGTCAACATTTTCAAAAGTCATGAAGTATTTCACATATTTTTTATACCCTCCACCATACTATGGAGGGTATATTCATTTTGTCATTCCGTTCCGAAATAATGATCTTAGACCCAACAAAGAATATATATTCTTGATCAGCGTAAGATTCTAAGACAATTTGGCCATGTCCGTCTGTCTGTCTGTTGTAATCACTCTACCTTTCGAACGAATTGAGATAGAAGGCTAACATTTAGCACACATGTCTATTTTGCCAGTAGGCAGGTTAAGTTCGTAAATGGGCCATGTAGGTCCATGTTTTCGTATAGTCCCCATATAACGGTAGCGATATTATTCACCCGAATTGTTTCATATTTGGAATTTGAAGTTCGAAATGGATACTACAGCCTGAGACAGAAAATTGTCTGTGCAAGTCCACGTCTTCGCATAGCCCCCATATAACGGTACCTCCCGATATTCGGTATTTTAACCATTTTAGCGACATTATTCACCGGAATTGTTTCAAATTTGGTGTTTGAAGTTCGAATTGGATACTACAGCCTAAGAGGGAAAATTGTCTATACAGGTCCACGTCTTCGTATAGTCCCCATATATCAGTACCTCCTTATATTCGGTATTTTGAAGGTTTTAGGTACAATAATCACCGAAATTGTTTGAGATGTTCGTAATGGAAGCTACAGCCTGTGACAGAAAATTGTCTATGCAGGTCAAGGTCTTCGTATAGCGCCTATATAACGGTACCTCCCTACGTACAGTATTTTGATGATTCTGGCTACATTATTCACCGTTTATTTCAAGTTTCGAATTTAAATGTTGGTAATGGCTTGTAACAAACAATGCCTATGTAGGTGCACGTCGTACAGGCCCTAAAATAACGGCTATATTCGGTATTTTTAAAATTTTAACAGAATTTTTGGCGAATGTTATCTTTTTCGAAAATTTTCAAATTCGTTCTAAATGGTGGATGGGGATTCAAGTTCGGCCGTGCCGAACTTACTGCTTTCTTACTTGTTTTTTTTTTATTTTTACTGTAATAACAATATATGTTACCTCCCCCCAACGGGTCAAAATTTTGAATTAGTTTATCTCTCATAAATGCGAAATAAACACGTCTCTTTTCTTCTGATGGTAGATATCTTCTCATTTGCTCCCCCATAATGGTGTCGAATTTTGAATAACAAAAAGTTCATATATTCTCAATGTAAGATCTGGTGTGAATGTAAGATATATCGGCATATCCCTTCTGGTACCTTCCCCACAAAGGGTCACAATTTTCAGTATGTACAGGGTAAGATAAAAGAACCGCAACAAAATTGAAAGCCATAATTTTTATATTTTTTTTTAATTTTATTGAATGGAAGCAAAAAATTTCGGAAATAACATCAAATTTTAGAATACGTTTAGATTTGTTCGAATTGATCACCTTTGGCACGAATTATGGCCTTCAAACGGCCAGTGAAACCGTCACACGCTGTCCGAATGTTGCTCTGCGGTATTTTGGCCCATTCCCGAAGAAGCGCTTGCTTGAGGCGATCGGCACTTTGCCAACCTTGCTTTCCAAAATACTCCAGACACAATAGTCCAACGGATTGGTATCCGGAGATTTTGGTGGCCATTGTGCGCTGGAAATGAAGCGAGGAATCTCATTTTGTAACCATTCTTGGGTGACGCGTGCTGCTGAGTGCGATGGTGTTGAGTCCTGTTGGAATGTCCAAGGTCTGCGGCCAAAATGTTTGCATGTCTTTAATACACCCTCCAGAATATTTTCGCTATAATATTCGGCATTTATTCTGATGCCACGCTCGATTAATACGAGCGGAGAGCGACCATCGTTTGCGTGCCCAAGGCTTTAATGCACCCTTTAGAATATTTTCCCCATAGTATTCTGCATTTATTCTGATCCACGGTCGATTAATACGAGAGGAAAGCGACCATCGGCTGTTATGGCGGCCCACACCATCACCATGGCCGGCTGTCGCTTGAGTTCTGGTGGCCAACCGAAGGTGCAAATCTTCAGCTGACCTCCTTCGCAAGTAAACACGATAATTTTGTTTATTTACAAACTGCTGCTGGACAACGAATGTTTTCTCATAGGAGAAAACCAAATTCGGCAGTTCACCACTTTCGACCAAGCGAAGCAACTCTTTATCTCCTTTGAGTCCATTTTCTTTCTGTTGCGGTGTAAGTTCTTGCACTTTTTGGAATTTCAATGGCTTTACCCCGAGCTCATTTTTCAATATTTGCCGAATGGAATATTGCGATATGTTCAGCTCACGAGACATTTTTCGGCCACTGCAACGCGGGTTTTGATTCGAAGTCTTTTCTTTACTTTTCGAACCATTTCTGCTGATGTTGCTGTTTTCTTCCGTCCACTTCCTTGACGTTGGGCTGCGCTACCAGTATCACAGTAACGAGCGATGGTACGAGACACAAAAGATTCATTCACATTTAATTGTTGGAGTGCTCTAACGACAGCCACTTGTGGTTTGCCAGCCAAATATAAAGAAATCACACCATTTCGCTTGAATTCCATCACGAATAACTTTTTTTCTGAAAAATTCGCACCAAAATGCTTTTCTACGCTTGTAAACAATATAATGAGCTGTCACTGGAATAATTTTGAACAGCTGTCGGATGAGTGGCTTAGAAATGACAGCAGTCTGAAGTTTAGTTGCAGTTTTTTCATCTCATCCAGTATTTTATAAAAATTCGATCTATTCTTGAACCTTATTTTAAATCCTATACCCTATAAGGTACAAGAGGTCCTTGGGTTCAATTACAAAATTCGGTGGGGGATGGCCCTCGGAGTTATATCTTTATCTCCTCCCCCCTAGAATTCTGCCAGGATTTTCGGGCAGAATTTTTTGTAAAACCCCTTTCAGCTCAGAAATTTACCAATATTTACACAAATTCTTGTTAAATAAGTTGATGCAACCGCATTCGCCCGAACAAAGTCATTACAACTACAAACCAAAATTCCTCAACACACACATGGAATCCAAACTACTCATACATACATGTGTATATGTGAACAATTCACAATACATGTAAGTGAAGGCTTTTGTTGGTTATTGTTTTGCCACAAATCCGAATGGCTGGATTACGAATTGTTTGCTCACCCCCACCTCTCCCCCACCCGCTGCCACAGAAGAAAAGGAGAAGCACCTCCAGTGCTTCTTTTGTTGCATTTTTATTTGTTCCCATGTGGAGGAGGAACCGATTCGATGGTTTCAGTGCAGCGACAGCAACAACTACAAAATCTATTGCAATTATTGACTTGCGCACTGTGCCCGACCATTCTTGCCATTACACAATGAGGTTCTTCGTCCTTCCCTCCTTTCTGCCTTCGCTGCCACCCAACACAGCAACAAAAGAAAGCAGTCCATTGTAAAGCCTTCCATTTACAATGGAATGCAATGCAGCTACGACTTGAGATGAAGTCATGCCTGGTTGGGTCGGTCTGTTCTGTCGTTCTGTAAGTTTTGTTATGTGCAACTATTATTGTGTATATACCAAAGCAGAAGAAAAAGAATAAATAAAAGATATTCCGCAGTTGTATTGTATGTAATAAAGGATACAATGCAATACCATTGTAAATACAATCAAAGAAAACGGAACTTTCAAAAGCAGCCATTTTCTAAAATTTACTATTCTAGCATTTCCTTAAAACTATCATTTCAATGAAAGGATGTTTATTTATTTATGGGATGTTTGCGAGGACATGGAGGAAAAACTAAGCAACGGGTGCATCCATCATTGTCTTAAAGAAAGAAAAATGGAATTTTTAAGAATTGTTTTTCCAAGGAATAACGGAGCCACAAATGTGGGATTTAAAGGATATTCTTTCAAGGATCACAAATTGGATTTTTTAA